GCGGTGCCTCCACAGAGAGCCGGTTGCGGGGCCGGGGTGTGAGTGGGCAGCCATGGTGGAGGGCTGTGAGAGCACACAACATCAGCGTTAATAACATCACAGTTAGGAGTGCAGAGGGCAAAAACCTCCATCAGAAACGTTACACCCTAATAATCGAATCTCCTACCAGTCATGGAATATTGACGCCATCTCCATGCTTGGGCAGATCGTATCCCTGCGTGATCGTGATGTTCTGGGGTCGGGTTGAAAACACCTGTAAATAAGTCTGCTTGTAGGAATGCCCCCAGCCCTCGGCCTGCAGTTGTGTTGGGAGCTGCTGCAGGGTCGTGCTGCTTTCATGTAACCAACTAATAAAACTGCTACGTAACGGTGTGTGCTGCCTTAAACTCTCCCGTTCTTCTCTCCACGCTAGAGTATCCGTGTTTGAGGATGATTGTTAAGACGTGCAAATGCAGGCTGTGCTTTAGCATGAGGCAACTGTTCATCTTTGTTTTTAAACAAAGTTGTAAGATAACTATGCAAATGTATTTTATTAAAGGGACACATAAAAGGATCTAGTTTGTCTCTTGTGGTTTTTTTTCGTGTCCATCTGGGGAGGACTTTTTTCCCAGCGGAATAGCTTGGTACGAGCGGTACGTTACCCACAGAGCCGCTTCACTTGGTTTTTTTTACCTCTTGAAAATGGAATGGTAAATTTCTCCTGTTGTAGCAAAGAGAGAACACTGTGTTTGCTGATTAGGGGAGACTGGAGAAAGGTTTTTTTCTTAATGTTTCCCAGGGGCCTGATGGAAACCAGTCTTTCCGTGGTGACAGATTTCTTGGGTTAGATCCTTTTGGTGGTGTCAGTAGGCAGGGCCGTGGGTGATGCCCGGTGTCACCATCACTCTCTTCTCCGGCTGTGCTGTGACAGGGGCTGTTCTAGTGCCAGCCCATGGTGCTTAAGGTGAGATGAAGTCTTTCTGTGGTAGCCCAGGAAAATAGAGGCAGGCTCATTCAGGCAAAATAAACCAACCCTTATCTGCTTTTTCCAGCCATATAGACTGGCTTGAGCTAAATAAACCCAAAAAATAATTAAAAAACAAAACAAAAACGGGGAAGAACAAACCCAGCTAGTTCCTTACAAATGCAGTTTATACAGACCACCTCTCACCCCTAAATAGTCTTCACTGGTGACCAGGAGCAGTGATGCCTCTGGTGTAGATCGATCCCTCACGGCAAGAGCTTGAGCTCGTGTTTGAGGCTTAAGATGCCCAGGCAGATCCAGGCATCTCACAAAGCGCTTTATCCATCTGGTTTTTACCTCATTTCTCTGGAATTGGCTTTTAAGTGAAGAATTTTAATTCACTCCCCCTTTTTTAACCAAGAAAAAAAATGGAAATTTTTTGGAAATGGTGATAGGTCTCGTTCGTCTTTCTTTGATTGGAAGATTTGTTTTCTTCTAAAAGTGTCATTCTTCCCCTTCAACGTACTCAAATCCAAAAGATGTCAGTAATTGGAAGGGGTTTTGAGGCCTTTGAATCTCCTGCAGAGTAGAACATCTTTTAACCATGAACCTCGGGCGTTTTTCATGCAGGGTTATGTTAGTAGGAAGAAAGTATTTCTTGTTCAGGTATATTTGGAGAAGGAAGTATAATTTTAACCGTAACTTTGGAGACTGGGATTTCCTGTTGACAAACTCTCCAGCTTGTTTTACCCGGCCCCTGCGAGACAGCTGCTTCCTCCTCTTGGGAGAGTGGGATTTCTCAGGAAGAGGTACCTGGTTTGTGGCAGACATCGCTCTCCTGCGAAGCCCAAGGTTTCAAAGGTACCAGAGACCCCCCAGTGCTGGGGGTTCAGTGTTCCCTCCAGAGGGAGGTGAGGAGCTCAGATTCCCCCTCTGCAGGCTCTCCCCAAAACCTCACCCCTTTTCCTCAGCTGCCTGGGGAGCTGGGGCTGAGGCTTCCCCAGGCAGAAGCCACACCGACGACTTTCTGCTGCCAAACCCAAGCAGTTTTACTGCTCCCAGACACATTCCTGGCCACTAAACGAGCAGAAAACTACTGCTTTCTTTTCCCCCTTTGGGATTTGGGATTGGTTTGCTGCCAGGGTGTGAGCCGGGAGTCAGAGAAGTGCCAGAATTGATGCAAGGGAAGGAGGGAACAGGAAGGTGGGAGGAGAACGGGTAGAGATGTGGGTCCACCCTTTTCCATACCAGTGAGCCCGGGGTCACTGGGGCCACGATGGGGGAAAAAAGCCATTGGCAAATGCAGCAGGCAGGCTGGTTTATTCTCTGTCTCATCACCTTTCTTCCCTTCAGATCCCAATGCCTGAATTCACCCTCTAAAATCAGACGTGTGGGTTACATACTGTGTTTTTATGCCAGTATCACCAGACCCATCAAAATTTGGGGTGTTTACACTAATGCTTATTTAAATATAAAACAGGATTCATCCGTTCATCCCAAAGGCTGACAGTCCAAATACAAGATTAGTGCAGGAGACAGTTAATTTAACTGTGGTTTTGCATCTGATAATGAGTTTATCAACCAGATCTGGTTTAGGTGGATAAAAAAAAGGCCTGTTTTCCTTCCAGTGTTTGCTTTGACTTCCAAGTAGACAGCGTGAGGCAGACACAAAGCCCAGCACGGGGGTTGTTCTCACAGCTGTGATACAAGCAAACAGCAACAGGGGCTTCAGTCCCTCCCTGCTTGTGTTGGGGGCTGTACCTTGCACTAGAAGAGAAAGTCACGTGGTCAGAGCTGAGATTTCCAAATCTGGGCAAATCAAGTCCAGTTACTGTGAAAGCCCTTGATTATCCTAAAATGTCATGTCTCAGGAACCAGGTAGGCTTCAACTCAGCCCTGTGCAGACTAGAGAATGACGCTGGGATCCAGGAAAAGCGTGATGGACCAAGATACCACGCTTGGTAGGAATTACTTTGATATGTAACTTTGCTCCTTTTTCCTCATTGAATTTTGGGCTGATTTTAACTTTGGGAATATCCAAGGCCAGAAGCAGCATTCTGCACGATCAAACAAGCTGCAATCCCAGCTTTCTTCATAAAAAGTGGCTGGTTTTTTGTTTTTTTTTTTCAAATCTTGTCAGGAAGCTTAAGATCTGTGATCCTCCTTAGGGGTACAAAACAGAACTGAAAAGTCCTGATTTTCTATCTAGCTGTTGCCTTTCCTGCTTAATTCTTTGTGTTGTCCAAAGGGTTTCCCTGTTAAAATACTTATAGCTCCGTTTGACAGTGTTTCTCTGTTGCTGAAGGATGCTGCTCCTTCAAAGCCTGGCCAGCAGGAAGCACACAAGCCTGGGAGGTTCCCATTAAGTCATTGTCCCATCAAGTTTAGTGTTTCTTGTTTTTTTTCCCTCCAGGTTTGTTGCTAACTCATTTCAGTTTCATTATTTAGAGCAGCCTTGCCCTAAGCAGATCTATACGTTGGCAGTGCCTAGAATCAAGTCCCATTCTAGTGTCCTGGCTGTGTTAGGGTGACAAGGGAGCCCCAGCCCCTCCGTGCTGTAGGTCACGCTGCCTTCCCTGACACCTGCAGACTTTCAAAACGCTTTGTTCCTCTAGAAATGCCACATGTAAATGAGTCCCTGCGACGTCCTTTCTGCTACCCTGCAAAATCCACGGGTCACCTTGTATTAAAATCTGACGCTGTCACACCAAGCGGTAGATTATGTCATTGATTCTGTGATTCTGTTCTCAAATTATCTGTAATTGTTTATTTTCTTTCCCCCACCTGGCTGCTCTGCCGTACCCTGCTGGCACATGCTGGGTAACAGAGGGACGGGGTTTGACTTTCTGTGCTCTCCTTTACCCATCTAAACGTACTCACCACTTTGTTTTTACCAGTTTTTGATTTGGTTACTAGATTTCAAACACTCTTGTGCTTACTAACATATATACAGCAGGGAAAAAGCAGGGTGAAGCTGTAGGGTCTGCATGTTATCATGGGATTTGTGTCATTGAATGTCTGTGTGTTCCTGTGCATGATTTTGATTATCATTATTTTGAGTTCATTCTGTTTCTAAATGAGAAAACAAAAGTTGTGTGACTGTGAAGTGACGCAGCTATCCCGTTATTCATTATAACTTTACAAATCCAAACTAGTGGTTTGTATCATACATTAATAACTGAGGCAGAGTACTGTAGAAATGGGGTGGAGATTAAAGGTGCAAAGTCATAAATCAGCCCCAGACACATCCTAGATGATTTCATCTCCCCAAAGACATGGCCTAAGGTAAGAGAAAAATCAGGGTTTCGAAATGGTGGGGCAGAAAAAGGAGAAGAGAAAAATCATCAGACAAATGAGTGGCAGAAAGTCAGGAATTCTTTTTTTGGCATCACAGTACAAGAACAAGGGATGTTTGAAGAAATAAAAAGGTGACAGATTGAAAAATGACATAAAGTGGGGAGGGGGTTGGTCACTACGTCACTGGATTTTGAAACCCACTGTAGCTGGGGACAGGGTTTTTAAGGAGAAATGCTGGGTATATAGACTGAACCAAAGGCTGCTGTGTGTTGATGCAATTTCATTAATTCCTCAGATCCGATGGCCTGAGTGGGATCTAAACTGCTGGCTTCCTTCTTGTAGGGTGTGCTGATCTCCAGAGCCTTGACACGATGCAGCCGATGGAAAGGAAAAGGCAGGGCTACATTCATGAACTCATCCAGACAGAAGAAAGGTACATGGATGACCTGCAGCTCGTCTTAGAGGTGAGATGTCTTGGGTGTGGAAATGCACCTGGAAAAAGAACACCTCTGTCTTACTGAGTAATAGCCAGAAAGGGACTCTTAGGAATGGTGAAATGCTAAAGGAAAAAAGTGAGGCTGTGTGAGCACTTCCCTTTCTAGTGAGTGTTACGTGGTTGTCCACCAGGCATGAACCTCACGTTGTGAAAGCTGTCATCTTACAAGTGTTCCACAACCTGTTCTCGGGTGTTTGGGCTGTGTGAAGGGGCTGGGCTGGGCTGGGCTGTCTGGCAGAGCAGCACAGGCTCGTGACAGAAGCTATGTAAGCACCACAAAAGTTTATTGTCTGCCTTCATCTCCTATTTTATTTCTGGAAGCCAAACCACCTCACTGGGCAGGGTGGAAACTGGCCGGCGTTAGGTGGTCTCAGGAGTCTGACTTGACCTCTCTGTGTAAAACAACTCTGCAGTGAAGTGTTCAAGGAGTTAAATAGAGTGAGATATACAGGTTTTCTGTTGTGCCAAGGGTCTCTGAAAGAAACTGTAGCTCTGCACGCAGGCTGAGCTGCTTAAAAGATGGGTAGATGTAGTGCTGAGCGATACAGTTCGGTGATGGTTGATGGTTGGACTCAATGATCTGAGAGGTCCCTTCCAGCCGAGGCAATTCTGTGATTCTCTATGATGCATCAGTGCCATTTGTGTAGCAGTTGACTCCACAATGATGGGAAAGCTCCTCTGCTCCCTCAGCCTGCAGGTCCCACTTGTCCCTGCTTCACAAGCGGGGATGGCGGTGTCAGAATGAGGTCACACTCTTAGGAAAACTTAGGATGTAGCTGTCACAAGCACTAGTAAGGAATTGCTTTTAACTTCTCCTGGGAGATTGGACACTGAGCCTTCAGAAAAAGCATAATCACTGCCAGGCTAAACAAGAGGCTGAGCTGCTTCTGCCTCTGAAGAATTTCTCCGCTTTCTGGTTTTTTCACTGCAGGTTTTCCAAAAGCCAATGGCCGAGTCGGGCTGTCTCACCGAAGGAGAGATGGGGCTGATCTTTGTTAACTGGAAGGAACTCATCATGTCAAATACAAAGCTACTGAAGTGAGTACTGACCCACGTTTTTATGTTTTTCTCTTTATCTTTGTTCTCTTGCTCCTTTCCCCAGGAAGTTTTCTGGTGTTACAGTAAATATTTCTGTCCTTGCTGATGATTTCCTGTGCACACGTGCATTCAGAACAGCTAAATACATTCAGACAACCTCACAAAGAAGGAGTTGTTATGAGAGAGGGGGGAATAAACAGCAAGAACAGATGCACACTTGCTATAATATCTTAGAGCCTACACAAAAGCATGTGCATGGGAGGCCTTCTTCCCCGTTTTCTGCAGAGCAACCTTCTGTTCTCTAAAAATAAACACTGAAGAGACAAAGTGGCTAATAATTCGTAGAAACGGGATGCTGGTTGAATGTAGAGATTGATGCCCATTGTCCCAGAAACCTCCAAGGAGAGTCTTGAGTCCCACAGACCCCACCAGGGAGGTGGTTCAGCTCGGCGTGTGGTGCTGGGTGGGGGCTCAGGTCCCAGCCTGGAAGTGCCCGTGCTGCGTCAGGGGTTTCACCGCGCCGGCGTGCGGCCTTTCAGAGATGGGTGTTGTCAGGATCTTCTTGATTTCGGCCTCACAGACTTGGCAGCCAAGCTGGACGGTGATTTCTTTCCTCTTCAGAGCCTTGCGAGTGCGTAAGAAAACAGGAGGAGAAAAAATGCCAGTGCAGATGATCGGGGACATCTTGGCAGCAGAGCTCTCTCACATGCAGGCCTACATTCGGTTCTGCAGCTGCCAGCTTAACGGGGCTTCCTTGCTGCAGCAGAAAACCGATGAAGATGCTGATTTCAAAGACTACTTAAAGGTATTTTATTCAGTAGCTGTTGTGCCTTCTCCTTTCCTCAATGACAGGAGCCCCTCTAACCAGCACCGACCAGATCAAAATAACCCATAAGAGTAAAATCTTGCCAAAATAGTTAAAAACCTTCCAAGGTGTATTTATATGATGATCATGGTTAATGCTGTGTGCGCTTTTTATTTATATACCTGTCTTTCTAGCTAATTTATTACTCCCCATTCCATTGCTCGTTACTTCAGTGTAACACTAACCCCACAAAGTGCCTGCACCTTCCCAAAAATTCATGCTGTCAGATGGAGTGAGAGCCTGGGGAGCTGGAATTAAAAAAAAGCTGTTGTCCTGAATGTGCTTCTAATTCAGTGGGGCCTGTGGTGTGTCCGAGCAGTGGGGTGGCTGCCGGGGAGAGAGGTGTCACCTGAGTGTCACAGGCAGACATGCTGCAGAATTAAAGGAGGACTTGCTGCCACGCTGCAGCTGATGCAGGGGCTTTGAGGCCCTGAAAGGAGAAAGGCCAGAACTGTTGACATCAGGCGTTTGTTTCTCTCATTGCTTTGTGTTTTCAAAACGTGAGCAGAGCCTGGGATGTGAAAATAAAAGCTGGGACGGGTTTGAATGTAAGGATTCTGCATGAACAGTGATCCTGAGGCTTGTGCTGTCAAAGCATCTGAGTACAATGACAGTGCCAGCTTTCCTGTTTGTTCTAGATACAATATTGGTTGCTTGCTGAAAAAGCTAAGATTTCTTGGAATGCCTGGAAAAATGAATCTGATCAGACAGTTTTCAGTGCAGTGAGGCAGCTGTTTCTTGATGAGTAATGTGATGTCTGTGTTAAATCTCTGGGTTGCACCATAGAAACTTGCCCTGGACCCTCGCTGCAAAGGAATGCCCCTCTCCAGCTTCCTCCTGAAACCTATGCAGAGAATCACCCGCTACCCTCTGATCATAAAGAGTGTGAGTACCCTCAGCCACGTTCTCTAGTGAACGCTTTTGAGTTTGAGCTCAGTAGAAAAAGCAAAAAAAATAAATCCTTGTCCCTTTATGGGGATTTCTGTGAGAGCGCAGAGAAGGAGTACGTGTCCTTAGCCGGTTTTGTTATAGAATCATAGAATCATAGAATTGCCCAGGCCAGAAGGGACCTCCAAGGGTCATCTAGTCCGACCTCCCCGCAGTCAGCAGGGACACCCCCAACTAGACCAGGTTGCCCAGGGCCTCATCGAGCCTCTCCTTGAATATCTCCAGGGACTGAACACCCCCAGCTCCCTCAACCGGTTCTCGTAGCAGAGGTGCTCCATCCCCCTGATCATCCTTGTGGCCCTCCTCTGGACCCGCTCCATCAGGTCCGTGTCCTTCTTATATTGAGGGCTCCAGACCTGCACACAATACTCCAGGTGAGGTCTCACCAGAGCAGAGTAAAGTGGCAGAATCACCTCTCTGGACCTGCTGGCAACGCATCTTTTGATGCAGCTCAGGATGCGATTGGCCTTCTGGGCTGCAGCTGCTGTTCTGATTTCTCCCTTTTTTGATCCATGCCAGATTCTAGAGAACACTCCAGAAAACCACCCCGACCACAGTAACCTCAGGCTTGCCTTGGAGCGTGCGGAGGAGCTGTGCTCTCAGGTGAACGAAGGGGTGCGTGAGAAGGAGAACTCGGACAGGCTGGAATGGATCCAGTCCCACGTGCAGTGCGAAGGCCTTGCTGAGGTAGCCACGTCCATACGTTGTACGGCCGAGGCTTTCAGAAAGGCTGGGGGGAGGAATGGGGGGTCCTTGCTCACATCTGTTATTGGAACACAATTCTCTGCTGAGCTTGTGGCAGAGAAGCTTTTATTATCTTCTGTTCACAGCTGTGACATGATGAGCCCTTGTTTTCGCACGGTTTTCACAGTGGAGCAATCTTGATTTATCAGCTTAAAACTGATAAACTATTTAAACTGTTCAACAAACAGCAATGACTCTTATCTCTGTTTTCTGAGCTGTTTCAGAAAGGCTGGGGGGAGGAATGGGGGGTCCTTGCTCACATCTGTTATTGGAACACAATTCTCTGCTGAGCTTGTGGCAGAGAAGCTTTTATTATCTTCTGTTCACAGCTGTGACATGATGAGCCCTTGTTTTCGCACGGTTTTCACAGTGGAGCAATCTTGATTTATCAGCTTAAAACTGATAAACTATTTAAACTGTTCAACAAACAGCAATGACTCTTATCTCTGAAGTTCTGCCTGTGCTGCCACTGCGCTAAGTCAGATGTTACTGTGTGGAATTTCACTTAGTGTGTGTTCCCCAGGGTTTTTGGTCACGCACAAAGGGCACAGAAGCCCTCACGGCCAGGTCCTCAAAGGTAGGGGTGCCTGTGCTGCCACTGCGCTAAGTCAGATGTTACTGTGTGGAATTTCACTTAGTGTGTGTTCCCCAGGGTTTTTGGTCACGCACAAAGGGCACAGAAGCCCTCATGGCCAGATCCAAAAAGGTAGGGAGGGGTTCAGGCTCCTGCACCTTTCAGGACAGCCTTCAAAATGAGGTGGGAGTTGTGACAATTCTCCACTGGCTGCTTAAGGAACCGGGGCTTGACAGGCCCAGAAGGTCTGTCCTAGTTCTGTCACCTAATTGTGTGCCCCTGAGAGGTGACCTGACTGCAGACTCTGCAGGCTCTTCTTAAACACGGCTTCTGGGCCACAGAAAAGTGGCCATGAGCTACATGCCTTCATCCAGTCAGACCCGGGTGTTGGTAAGGGTTAAATTTACTTGATAGCAGTGCTGATACCCTGGCAGATCATAAAACAGTCTCCCTTCTCTTCATCTATGACTAAATTCATTACACAAAGCAGAAGAGGGTTTTGAGCAGCTTGAGCTATCTCCACTGTGAAGAGGAGCAGGAACTGATGTCTGCTCTAACTTCTGCTCCTAATGGGTTTCTGTCTCTCCTAGCAACCGGTGTTCAACTCCCTCACAAACTGCCTGGGACCACGGAAGCTCCTGCACAGTGGGAAGCTGTACAAGGCCAAGAGCAGTAAGGAGCTCTATGGCTTCCTCTTCAACGACTTCCTCCTGCTCACCTACATGGTTAAACAGTTTGTCTCTTCCGGCTCCGATAAACTCTTCAGCCCCAAGTGCAACTCCCAGTTCAAAATGTACAAAATGGTAAGTGAACCAGGGAGCCCTGTGGTTGTGTTGATGCAGTGGGACCTGGCTTCTGATGAGGAACCCTCTTCTCCCGGCTGGGATGAGCTGTTTGGGAATGCTCTTCTCCCAGCTGGGATGAGCCAGCTGGCTCCATCTAATCCTTTACTGTTGTACGGGCACATCCACCGTTTGACTTAGTCCCTGGAAAAGGACAGGCTTTAATAGTACAATGGTTTGATAAACACTTCTGTCCACTTTGGGGTGAAAGGGCAGAAATAGCATTGTGCTTGAGCAGCTGAGTGGGATGTTCAGAAGCAGGAGTCTTGACTTAAGTTTGCCCAAGTTCCTGCACCTTCAAGAAAATACCTGTCCTTCTTTAGAAAAGAGTAAAAGGTGCAAAACTTTAGTCTCCATGTCCACACAGTGCGTGTTCTCAAGATTTTGGAGTTGGAGAGTTAAGTTTAATTATTGGGGCTGTTTTCCAACAGGGAACCTGGGAGATCTCCAGGATTTCCAAGCTCCACACTGCAGCTCTGCTTATGTTGTCCTACCCCTTTCACAAAGCTCTTCATCTAGGGACACAGAATGGGCTGTGTGGCCAGAGGAGTTTTTCTCTCAGTCTAGGGACACAGAATGGGCTGTGTGGCCAGAGTAGTTTTTTGTCTCAGTTTTTTCTCACATCCTTTATATGGTGATCTGATTGTTTGTCCTGTGTCCTCTGACTTTCATTTTCCCTGCAGTAAAAAAATGTATTTAAACATCCTTGTAGAGTTTCCACTGATTGTCAGGGTGCCGCTGCCACAGCCATGTTTGCTTTTCTTCCAGCCTGTTTTCCTTAATGAAGTCCTGGTGAAATTGCCCACAGATCCTTCAAGCGATGAGCCAGTTTTCCACATATCACACATTGACAGAGTTTACACGCTTAAAACGGACAACATTAACGAGCGGTGAGTAGTGCAAACGCAGATCTGAGCTTTCAACTTGGTGATCGTGGCTGCAGGCTGTTCCCAGTGAGCAGACACGGGGGTCTCAGAGTTCAAAAACAGGGTTTAGTCTCTCAGTCAGGAAATAAACTCATTTGAATTAAAAGTTCCTGTAGGTTTTTCCCCAGTCTTGGTCAGTCTTCAACTGGAGCAGCTCCAGTTTCATTTCTTTAGGCTGATGTGGAAACGTGGTATAGAATTATAGAATGGTCTGGGTTGGAAGGGACCTTGAAGATCATTGTGTTTCAGTCATGGCAGGGACACCTCCCACTTGGTCAAGTGAGTCTAAGATGAAATCCAAAAACTCCATCACTTTAGTCCTTGAACTAACTTGATTTGTGATGCCTCTGAAATCCAGTGGGGGTAAAAGAAATGGCAAAAGAGACCGGGGTGGAGTCACTGATGCTGGGGAATTTCCTGCCTGTGGTAGGACCCTGACCGTAGGGATGGTTTTTGCAGCACTGCCTGGGTCCAGAAAATCAAAGCGGCGTCAGAGCAGTACATCGAAACTGAGAAGAAGAAACGTGAAAAAGCTTATCAAGGTACCTGCCGAGTTCTGTGTGTCCCCCTCATCCACTCAGATGCATCTTTTTTGGAGGGTGCCACAGTCTCTGTGTGGGATCTCCCTCTTCAGATCTGTTGCCAGTTTTTAGGGTTGAATCAATCTGTTTATTTCCGACTTCTCTGTTCCCAGCGCGCTCACAGAAGAGCTCAGGAATAGGACGCTTGATGGTGCATGTGATTGAAGCAACAGAGCTGAAGGCCTGTAAGCCCAATGGTGAGTGAAGGAAATAGCATCAAATCACTTCTATTCCTGCAGCGTCTGGAAAGGCTGGCTGAGAGGAGTTTGGTGATTTGAGCAACACTGTGGATTTAGCTGCAGCTTCTGAGTGAATTAGCCATTATTTAGTTTCAGAGGACAGAGTGAAGAACCAGCTCTGTGCTGCTCGAGGATGTGGGGATTGCCTGACCCACATCTTCTGGACAAGCAGCATCACAGAATCACAGAATCTTCTAGGTTGGAAGGGACCTTAAAGATCATCTTGTCCAACCGTCAACCTAACTGACAAAAATAGACACCCACACAACAAACAAGGAGCATCATCACTAAACCATACCTCCCAGCACTACATCAACCCGTCTTTTGAACACCTCCAGGGATGGGGCCTCAACCACCTCCCTGGGCAGCCCATTCCAATGGCTGATAACCCTTTCCGTGAAAAAATTTTTCCTAATGTCCAGCCTGAACCTCCCCTGGTGTAACTTGAGGCCATTTCCTCTCGTCCTGTCGCCTGTGACTTGAGAAAAGAGACCGACCCCCACCTCTCTACACCCTCCTTTCAGGTAGTTGTAGAGAGCAATGAGGTCTCCCCTCAGCCTCCTCTTCTCCAGGCTGAATAACCCCAGTTCCCTCAGCCTCTCCTCATAAGACTTATTCTCCAGACCCCTCACCATCTTTGTCACCCTTCTCTGGACCATGTATGTCCAAGCAGGCTCCAGACAGGGAGGGAGGTTCTGGTGCTACAGAGGTGTTTCACTACTCCTTCTGTGTTTAGGGAAGAGCAACCCGTACTGTGAAATCAGCATGGGCTCTCAGAGCTACACCACCAGGACCCTGCAGGACACCTTGAACCCCAAGTGGAACTTCAACTGCCAGTTCTTCATTAAGGATCTGTATCAGGACGTCCTGTGTATCACCATGTTTGACAGAGATCAGTTCTCACCCGATGGTAAGTGTGAACATTTGTTTTAGGAAAAGAAGGCTTTTTGGTGACTTGGGGGCGTGTGGTTCCTCAGGTCCAAGAGCCTGAAAGTTTGATTGCTTGTGGAGAAATGTTGTGTAAGAACAGCACCTCCTTGCTCGAGGTTCAGAAGCCCTCCAGAGCCAGCAGCTCTGGGCAGCCCCAGTCAGGTTTGACCCCACTCTGGCTTTTGTGTCAGACACAGAGCGATTATTTTGTCAGACCAGGGAGACAGAAATTGAAGAGAGAAGTTTTTCTCTCTCACTGTAGGTGCCTGAAAATAAGGTGCTAGCTTATTAGCAAGCTGTTGCTTAGCAACCGCTTGATAAGCTTTCTTTTTCTGCTTGGAAACGGAACACATTTTTGGCAGTCAGTAGCTTCTAGTGCTTTTTAAAAGGTTAAGTGCTTTTTCAGGGCTCTGACACCCAGTCGATTATTTCAGATTTGCAAGGTACTGCCTTGACCTGAGTTGCCCCACGTGTAACTACAGCTCAGGCTTTTCTTCTGTGAGGCAACGTGACTTTGCCAGGCTGCTTCTCCCCAGCTGGGGCTGGTGGGTTTTCAGTTCACAGTAAACTTTTTAATGCACACAAACACACCGAGATATTTATATATGAAATGGCTACAAAGAGGGTATATAATTTCTGAATAAAACCCTAAATCTACTAGTGGCAGTAATTGTTCAAGGCCATTGTTCCTGTGAGAAGAATGATATATAAGCCTAATTAAAAGTTGGCTGAACCAGAACAGTTTATTTTTATTTTGTCTTTGTAGCACCACAGTTGACTTGTAAAAAGCTTCCATCGCTTAACTCTGGCTGACCTCCCAGCTCTAAGAAAGGAGAACATTTGAAACTGTGGTTCTGAAAGGGAACTGTATTTTTAAAGCCCTGTGCTGTAAAGCCATGTTTTCCATCCTAATTCCATAGCATTTTTGTCTTCTAAAATGACCCTTTTTTGTCACCGCTGGCTTATTTACCCAGGGCTACTCAACAGGGGGCTTGGGAGCAGTGCTCTTGAACTGGAGACCCACTATGTAGCATTGCTGCTTAACCTGACACTTTCAGATCTTCTAAGCTTAACGTCTTTGCTTAATGAAATTTCTTATTCATTTGCCCAACAGATTTTTTGGGTCGCACCGAAGTTCCAGTAGCAAAAATCAGAACAGAACAAGAAAGCAAAGGCCCCGTGACTAAACACCTCCTGCTGCATGAAGTTCCAACAGGTGAAGTCTGGGTCCGCTTTGACCTGCAGCTCTTTGATCAGAAAACACTCCTCTAAGAACACTTTTTTTAATTTATGAAGGACAACTGAAGCTGACAGCCTTTTTTTTTTTGATAAAAGATTCCTTGCTCCACGCTGGTTATTAAGCAAGAGTTCCTGCTGCCTCCATGTTTCCTCTTAGCTACTGGTTGCGTTTAGTTCCTTGCAGCATTGGAAGTTGTTGTTGATCTATGCAAACACAAATGTTACTGTATATACAGTACTAGAGCTCAGTGCCTTTTTATTACGTTAGAATATCTTGGGTTTGGATGCCAATGTTTCCATTTTCAGGGCCATAATAAGTATTAAGTAGAAATGTGGCATCAAGATGTATTTATATTTTACCACTTAGTCTAACGTATAGACTGAGGAATGGTTTAGCTCAGCACAAGAATCATTCCATTTGAAATCTGCAAAGTGATATCCACTGGAACCTTCCCGTCTCAGGATGATAGTTTTAAAGATTAAATGCTGAAGAAGCCTTAGCACTGGAGAAGTCTCCGCTATATTGTATATTCTTTAAGAATCAAGTGTAGTTCTTTACTTGACTTAGTTCTGCACTGAAATCAGTAACTGCTACTTGATTTTTCTTTCTGCTTCGGTTTGATTCATCATTCTCTGCTGCGACAATGTGGTTGTGAAGACTAACTAGAAAAAAATATTTTAAATACTGTGACCCACAAAAATGTGGAAAAAATATTCTTCAGCTTTTGTTTTTTTCCTAAATGTAAGTTATTTTGTGTACATTTCCTTGGTCTTGCAGACCACGTGAATCTTGAAGCTTTGACATTGCCAACTTGTATATAGAGAGTAAAATATAAGTTTATTAATGTAATTTGTCTACAGATGTTTATTGATGCATAGTGATTTTTAAAAAGTATATTTTATTGTACAGGGGAATGTGAAATAATGAAAAAAAGCTTAAATAGTTAACTTCAAGAAAAGTTTATTATAAGTTTAAAAGGTTTCCTCGGGGGAAACTGTCACCCCACCACAAATCTGTAAAATGAGATGATTGGTTGAAAGCAAAAACTTTCTCTTGGCACCAAAATCAGGGATGGTTAGGAAAAAAAAAAAAGAACACAAAAGAGTTTGTTTATAAAGGGTTTGATACATTGTAACCATTTTACTGCCTCCTTAAATTGCTTTGTTGAAAAAGCACAGCATGCAATTCCGAGTGGTGCATGCCCTTGTTTTCCATGGGCACAGCAATCCCTCCTGCTGCCTGACAGTTTCACGCCCCACAGCCATCTGTGTACCCTCCTGTTACAGGGCTGAGGCAACCTCTGTTACTTTTAACAGTTCTCTGTGGTTCAGTTCTTTCTAATCCTAAATAAAAGTAAATCTTGGCAACTCTTGAGAGCTTGTGGCTGTTTGGAACTTCGTGAACAAGCATAGAGAAAAATCCTGGTTTCAGGCTCTGACACCAGAGCTGCTGTGCCGTGAGACCAGTGGGGAGACGGGGACCACGGTGGGACAAGAGGGACACCAACCTGCAGGGCACCAACAGCACTTGTCGCTCAGCAGCGACTCTCTGAGAAGTGCTGGACATCTTGTACAAGAGCACTTTCCATCTCCTCTAATGATTTCCTGCCTTCTCAGAACACACAGTGTCTGTTAAAGTTTGCTTTACTGCTTGTGCGCTGCCTCCAGGAGAAAGTCCTGTGAAACCTCAGTAGCAGCCTAACAGCATTTTGCAAATAATACTTTGCAAGACATTCACTGGGGGAGTTCTGATAAAGAGCTGAACAAGAGTAACCAAACAATTATTTCCTTATCAGCTTTCTAAGCTGCACTTCTGTGTGCATCTGCTACCCCTGCACAGAGCCAGCAGCTCCTCCTTCTCCCCCTCATTCAAAGAGATGGGTTGTTCTGAAATCTTAAGGTGACCTCTTTCAGCTTCACGCAAAATTGCAAATCATAAGCTTTGCCTTTCCCTCTGCCAATGCTCACTCTTCTTCCTCAGCTGTAGCTGCTGCCAGAGCTGGGGGTAACACACAGATTCTGCACCCCCCAGAAGGCCCTAGCAGGTGTCTTTACCTTTTCCCACCAGTTCATCTCCTTTTAATACAAAGACTCCATCACCCTATAAACAGAGAACATCAGCGCTGTCTTTGCAGAGCTGAGCTAAGTTAAAGCACCTAAACCAGCAGTTTCTGTCTGTAGAGCTGGAAATGACAGGAGCAGTATCTCAGATGTTTCTTTGGTTGCTGGGCAACAGTACTTCAGAACTACGTGCTTAAGACAATGAGTTTATTGCAGTTTACCAGAAGACCTGGCCCGTTATCACTTGCTTTGGCAGAAGATGTAGCATATTTTGGAAGTGGTACCTTCTGATGGCTGGGCTTGTCACTTCAGTCAGCTGGAGGACAGGGTGACATCATTGGCTCTTGCCATCTTTGTGGTGGCTGATGACTTTCTGCCTTTAAACAGAAGTAAAAGCTATTGCCAGGCCTTGTGACACGGAGGCTGCTGTGGCCCAGCAGAGCTTCCTGCACTGGCTCTGTCCCACACTGACTCACTCCAGGAAATGCTTGTCATTGTGACCAGTTTTCCTTCTAGAAGGTGCTTTGAACGCTTTAAACGCACTGGAGTCAAGCCCTAGGGGCCAGCAGGAGGAATAAAACTCTAAGGCAGGGGCTGGCAGGAGAGTGACTGGGCCTGGTTTGGGAGGCCATCAAGCCCCCAGTTTACAATGCTCTACTTTAATACATCTGCTGTCCACTCCACACCTGGGGGCTTTCCCTTCCCTAGCACTCCTTTCTCAGCAGAAACACACAATAAAGCAGAATTCACCATGAAATATTAAGTTTTAGCAAATATTCTGCTCTGCAGCCAAGCAGGATAACAGCTCCAACAGCCTCATCCACCACAGCTGTTGTGCTGCCTCTCAAAAAACACCACGTTAGCTCTTACCTCTTCTTTTGGTGGACCTCACTAGCAATATAGCTGTGTGGTACCTTCAGCCACTCAATTGCATCCATGCGTTGCCGGCTCAAAGGAAGCAGTGGCAGTTCTGCTTTGCTGAGTTCCTTCAGCTCTCTGGAGGAGTATGGTCTTCCTGCAAGGCAAGTAACAAGTGCTTCGTGTGAGGATGTACTGTCACAAGCAAGGCTGGCCCCCCCACTATGGAACACTTCCAAGGGATACCAACTGCCTAAAATACCTGTCTCACACTGCTTGATAACGCCCATCTCAGCAAACTTTCTTTGAATGCCTTCCAACAGAGGATCCTGCAAAGTTGGTATTGAAACCTGTGACAGAGACGGTTATTTCAGGCTCATGCACTGACACAAGCACTTTGTCAAAAAGCCTCAAAGAAAGACCAAAATCAGAGATGACTGTCAAGATACCATTAGCCAGCAGGGAAGGAGCATCAACCTCATTTTTTATGAATAAAAATATGACAAGTGGACCCGAGCAGCCTGAGAAACACTCAACATCTCAGCTCCTAAGGCAGGCCATAATGCATTCAACAACTCCTCCACAAAGTTAGACCATGGACATGAGATCTGATCTCGTGGAGGCAGTTGATCTTGAACAAGCCTGTGTGGCACATTGCAATGAAGTATCAGCTTAGTCCCCACAGCTGCCGAGGGCTCACAGCATCCAGAAGGATCCACTCCATGGATTTGTGCCCAAGTCCTACCCAACTCTTCCATTAGGTACCCAAGTCTTGTGCATTTGACTGAGCTTCTGTTAAGATCATCTGCACTGTCAGCATATTTCCCTCTACAGAGCACACACACAGCTTGCCTGGGAACTCACCAACCCTCGTTAGACAGGACACTTCCCACACTGCCACGAGGAATTTGAGATGATGAAGAACCTTCCCTCCCGCCCACAGCGTTGCCTACTGTGTCTCCAAATCTGGGCTTAGTATGGATCCAAACCATGCTCCTAGTGAAAACCATTTTCACACACTCTTGGGCTTAAATGCAGTAGGAGCTGGGACCCCTAGTTCCTAAAACCAGAACGTGTTGCTCTACAGCAGCCCCATAGCAGCACAGCAGTAACACACTCCACCCCCCTCTCTAACCATTAACTTCCTGCAGGTCAAAGGGTGCCTCTAAACCTCGCGGCATAAACACCCACCACACCTTCCAGCAGTCTGTACGCGTCGTCAGGAAGAGCGGATCGTACTCTGATGGGTCATAATCTTCCAGAGTCACATAGCCCTGTGGGAGAAGCAGGGAGCACGTCAGGTCTGGGAAGCTATTGGTGATAAACCAAACAGTAAGAGAGCAGCCAGCCCAGGCAGGAATGCAGCACTGGAGGCGATGGAGAAAAGGGCTCCCGAATTTTCACAAGCTGCACCTCAGAAGGAAGGTGCCTGAGTGTAACTGGAAAATTCCTCCATCCATTTTAATTTATCATAGGCATAAATAGGGCCACAAGGATGATCAGGGGGATGGAGCACCTCTGCTACGAGGACAGGCTGAGGGAGCTGGGGTTGTTCAGCCTGGAGAAGAGGAGGCTCCGGGGAGACCTAATAGCAGCCTTCCAGTACCTGAAGGGGCTACAGGAAGGCTGGGGAGAGCCTGTTTAGAAAGGCCTGTAGTGACAGGACGAGGGGCAATGGCTTTAAGCTGGAGGGGAGCAGATTTAGACTGGAGATTAGGAGAGGGTTCTTCACTGTGAGGGTGGTGGAGCACTGGAACAGGTTGCCCAGGGAGGTGGTTGAGGCCCCATCCCTGGAGATATTCAAGGTGAGGCTCGATGAGGCCCTGGGCAACCTGGTCTAGTTGGGGGTGTCCCTGCTGACTGTGGGGAGGTCGGACTAGATGGCCTTTGGAGGTCCCTTCCGGCCTGGGCAATTCTATGACTCTATGATTCTTTGAAATACATAATAAATGATTTCATGAGGCATCCAGAAATAATTGCAGGCTAAAATGCTAATCTTAGTTAGAACAGTCAACAAAATTAAAATTTTGGTCAAGGAAAAGGTTTTAACAAAGAAGGAAACCGATATTAGAAAGAAAAGTGAAAGAAATGACTGACCCCCCCACCAGCCATAACCTCGGCAGCTCAGCAGGCACCTGGGCAGCTCTGGGACTGGAGCTACCACTGAGCATGACCATTGCTGCCTCTGCAGGGGCCTCTGCTCCCCAGGATCTAGCAGCTCCCCAGAGAGCAAGCAGCGGCTGCACTCACCATCTCCTGTTTCTGTCCCTGGAAAGCTTTAAGCCTTAACACGCCTCAACTGACAGAGTTTTAGTGCCACCCTTTGGTTTGTTCCGTATCACCTCGTTAACAGCATGTGCTGAGACCTCAGGCAATTGTGTAGGTGCTGTGTGTGCAGCACACCCCTGCCTGATCCCTTCACACATCTTCATGCTATGATCAACCATCTCAAAATGCATCTGTAGTCCATGTCCCTGGGACTAGGGGTAAGGAGGAGGTGAAAATGAAGGTGAAAAGGAGGCAGTTTAAGGCAAAAAACACACATACGAGCAGGTCTCTAGAACAACAGAGAGTCAAGGAAGAGAGGTAAAGGAGGAAGGCTCAGATGGCATGAAAAAGGAGGCAGAAAAGTGAGCTGACAAAGACTGAGATGGAGGAACCTGGAAGGACAGTGAGAAGAAGGTAAGAAGGGAGGAAGAGGATGGAGGAACAGGGGAGAAGGCAGCTTTGGAAAACAAAGGACAGTGGAGAACTCAGAAGCAACAAAGAGATGGAGATACAGCACTGGGGAGTCTGACAGAAGAAAGAGGAGCAAAACAGTGGGTGACTTGGGGATGGAATAAAAGGGCTGACTGGAGAGAGGAAGAGAGTGAGAGGAGAAATTGGAGGAAGAATAATAGGTGTGGAAGGGGGGAACCAACCAGTGACAGAAACACAGAACAAGCCTAATAACAGGGAAGAGAGCAAATGGACAAAAAGGGGAGGTGGGAGGAGTGCATGGCTAGAAGTCAGTATATTAACCACCCCACAGAAGTGCCTTAACTTCTATAAAATTTATCATATGCTGCCACAATTAAAGCAAACTTGTGCAAATTAATTGTCCTGTTAATCTGAAGGGCTTCTGCCTGCTTTCCAAACATGCTGATGGTAGAGCCAACACCACAAAGCAGGCAGTAAAAGTGGAGGCTGATCATTGCTGCTGTGCCTGGTCAGGGAGAAGGAAACATCCCAGCAGACCAGCCATTTCTTTTGGAGGACACCCAGCGATGTCCTGACCTGACACAGAAGCTTGCAAGATGGACTGATGCAAACCCAGATGTGTACAGTACACCAAACATATCCTAAATCCCAGGACTTCAGCTCTTTGTCATTATGTGCAGTTTAAATGCATGGGTCTTTCACATCAGACCTTTGAAAAAGAGATTATTTGCTCTCATAAAAACACCACAGCTCCCAAGACATTTTAATTTCTGGATGGGAAGCTTGTTTACAGCCTCATAACTCCACTGTGCAGTGGTTTCCACTGACAACAAAAGCCTGCTCTAGATAAAATACTATTCTATTTGTGGTAGATGATGTAACCGCTCTTATTGCTCTCTATAGCCATCCCTGAGATGCAGCAAGTTGAGTCGTGGGATCTGATACTCAACACTGGAGTCAAATTCAGAGCAAAATCAAGAAAACCAGGAAGTATTTCCCCACAGCGACCACAATTTTTATGAGTACTGAAGCACACAGAACTACAGAATCCATGAGTTAGGTCTATTCACCTGCATGCAGATTTAAGAAAATTGTTACTGTCTCCCTTGTCCCCCCCTTTTTTCTTTTATAAAGCTTGATGGGTAGCATCCAAGGCCACAAAATCATTTCACTCGTCCTCTCCCAACATACTGCAGCACTGCTCTTGCTGAACTCCTGAGACATGAGAGCGTAGTCCACTCCCTGGTCACAGCCAGCCTTTGGTTTCAGCTGACAGAGCTCAAGGTTTTCCCTCTAAACAGTCCAGGTCACAAAAGGAAACTCACCACAATACGGTGTTTCAACATATTCAGACCCCAGCACGTGCTCACTGCACCAAACAACGCTATTGTTTGTATCTGATGGTGAACTTAAACAGCTATAACGATGTATGTCACCATTACAGAAGTGCTTAAGAAGAATAAGTTACAGCTGAACTCCAGGCCACTCAACTGAACAGGAAATAACAGCTAAACCCCTGATCTTGTCCACACCCTTCTGTATGCAACCCCCTCCGTGACAGAAATTTACTTCTCATTGGTACCTTCTTATTGCGGTAGTTTAAATAGAGAGAATGTTGTTCTTCTTTCCTTTTCCGTATTTCTTCGCTTGACTGGCTGTCCATTTTGTCCTGAATTTTCTGCAGCAGTGGTTCTGAAACATCCTCAAGCCATTTCTTGTAAAGCATCTCCTTCTTTCTCAGATTTAAGAAATCATTGTGCCTCAAATACCTGTCCGCCTCCTAAGTGAGAAATGGAAAATAAAAACCATACAACCTATTGACCAACCAAGTTAAAAGAGTCCACGGGTGAAGCTGTGCAGCTTGGCTGGCCTGATCTCACTGGTCCCTGCTGCAAGGGCCCCGTTCTCCAGCCCTTCTTTCTGCTCCTCCCTCTCTCCACTTCCAACCACTTGTTTCCAAGATCTCCTTTGAACGAGCTCTGGTGTGCAGACTCGAATTTTTAAGCTGTAGTGCAAGACTGGCAGAAAATCATTCATTTTCTCCCACCAAGTCAGTGAACTGAAATCACTTCAGAGCAGGGGTCTGATAAACACTAGACTCTGCAAGACAGGCAGCAGAAGGACCTTCTCCCTGCAGCACTGGCATTCTGCTAAATCAGATCAGATCAGCCCTCCTGCCCTTTGTTCACAGGCCCACCAACACCATCTAATCACCAACAGAACAAAAGTTAGGTGCCAACAGGCAGGTAAGTCACCAAAGACAGACGATATTTAGGGTCACCACTTCAGCCCTATCCCTATGCACTCGTAGGGATATCCCAAGGAGACTGAGGAGGCCACAACTTAGTCTTCCAGGAATATGAACTGACATGTTACTGTGAATCACTGATGGAGAGAAAAAACATCGACATGCAGGAAAGCACAGAACAAGCGAGAGAAGAGTTATCACTTCTTACCCTCACAAAGTAATTTTCTCTGTCCAAGATGCACTGAACAGAAGCAATGATATCTCGACTCCCATCAGCTGCTTCCTAACAAAACATCAAAAAAACACATGAAGTAAAAGCAGGGCCACGGTAGGAGTTAGAATTATCTTTGTTTTCAAAATAATTACTTGTGTTGTGATTAAAGGCACATTACACCATAACCCAGATGGCAGAATAGCACAGGCAGGCAAATCCTTGCATGACTTGCTCTGAATTGTTAGCTTAAATGTAGCAACAGAGGAGGATACGCGTCTGAAGAATCCTTACAGAACCAAAGGAGTTAGGTCTCCTTCGACTGAAGGAGTTAGGTCTCCTCTAGAGAGGAGAAGGTTCAGGGGGAGTTAGAATTATCTTTGTTTTCAAAATAATTACTTGTGTTGTGATTAAAGGCACATTACACCATAACCCAGATGGCAGAATAGCACAGGCAGGCAAATCCTTGCATGACTTGCTCTGAATTGTTAGCTTAAATGTAGCAACAGAGGAGGATACGCGTCTGAAGAATCCTTACAGAACCAAAGGAGTTAGGTCTCCTTCGACTGAAGGAGTTAGGTCTCCTCTCGAGAGGAGAAGGTTCAGGGGGAACCTCATCACAGTATGCCAGTGCTGAAAGGATGGCTACAAAGAAGATGGAGGCTCTCCCTTCAGAAAAAGCCATATGGATAAGACAAGAGGCAACAAGTACAAGTTGCACTGGGAGAGGTTTAATCTCAATATTAGAAAGATATTTTTTACAGTGAAATCAATCATTCACTGGAACAACCTCCCCAGGCATGTGGCGGAGTCCCCATCACCAGAGGTTTTCAAGATGCAACTGGAGAGGGTAGTAGATAATCTCATCTCACATCCCTTTCCCACAAAAGGATGGACCAATGATCTTTCAAAGTCCCTTCTAGGAGTCTATGATCTTAATTAGTCACAAGCTTGTTTAAGGTTTTATGGGAAACTTTTCTACAACCAAATTGCATGGAACTCAATGAAGCTACATCAAAAGGATGCAAGGGGTCAATAAAACCCCTTAGACTGGCTATTTCCAGAGCTCTTTGCTCCTCTTCCCAATGATAAACGTTTCTCAAATTTTACATTTACACAACATACACATAATGTGTATGTTTAATGGTTTGGGCACACTTTTTCAAAGATATATAAATATAAAAATATCTTCAATGTTACTGAGACAGCAGCCTACTCGTGCCCACGTAAGGCAGGCTGCAATACCATTCCTGAATGCACTAATGCTGCTGACCAGCATCAGCTGCTTCTGGCTTCCTCTGCAAGATTCAAGCAGGATTTGGATGCTCCACAGCCCCAACCTACAACAAGCTGAGAGGAAGGACAGAGCACACACATCTTCCTGTAATGCACATTTCAGAGCATGCCCAGGAGGAAGGGACAGAGACGTTCCTGCAAAGCAGGAGTTCCTAATGAACCCAGGCACATGCTGGGGACAGCAGTCCTGGAGAGCAGAGTGACAGACCAGATCGCTGCCTAGAACTTCAGCCGGTATCAGGTAGCCAGTTCCAAGACAGGAGCTCAATTGCAGCCAAATAACTTGGGATCCCAGTTACAGATACTGGTTCCGTGTGTCCTAAACTGGTTCTCTGTAGTAGAATCTACAGCTGAAGGAATGTACAGTCACTCACCAGCCGAGGCCTTTGCTGATCACATTCTGTCACAGGTCTTGGAGGTCGTAGTAGCCAGGTAGTGTCTGAGCTATTCACAGCACACATTGTTGCACTGGTCTGGGAGAAACATTAAAACATTCAAAACTATATAAAACTATTGTATAAACAGCAAAAAACCTAGTTTTCTTAGAATTCCCACCAAACAATGAAATAAGTCTCAAAAGGAATTCTACTGGCTGATACCAGCAGCATTTTCCTATCACAGGAAGTTAAACTGAGAGAGATGAAGTATCAGGTTTATAGTCAGTTCATCCCCCTGACAGTAACTACCTGTCTTCATCTCCACGGGCAATGGATACTGTATTATTTTTCAAAGAACAAAGTGATTCACAATGATTTCAGAACGCTTGTCGGCCTTGAAAACATTTCAGAGTTATCAAATTCCACCTCCTGACTTTTCCTTCTTTCCTTTGTGCCTTTTTCAATTACATAAAAGTCACTTTCAAATAACCGCTACATTCCACCACGGGGATGGTTGCATTTTAGTGGTTTTTAAAGTTACTTCTACCAGATGAACTTATGCTGAAACACTAAGTCTAAGCACCAGCCAGGAAATTCCATCTCCTCTATTGTACGTGCCCCAGTATATTTGGATTGATTTTATAACACAGAGACAGTAGAACCACAGAAGCAGAGTGCCCTTTACAGGAACCTCCATTTAAACCCCTATTTATTTCAGATTCACCAGAGACACACTGTTTCCAGAAAACGATGAAGTCACAAAATTACTTAGGTAAAGAGTGCCCCGAGAGAAAACCTTCCTTCTGCAGAGATACTGACCTCCACATTCTTCAGCCAGATCTTTCAGCTATGAAAAAAAATAATCTGTTTTTCAATTATTTCAATTTTTTTCAATTTTGAAAATAATTTGCAATTATTTCAATTTTTCAATTATTTTTAGCAACGTCTTGTTAAAAGGATCTACAAAGACTCTCCAAATCAGGTATCTGTACAAGATGACAATTTTTTTTTTTGTACAAGACAACTTTTAAGAGTTTATTCTGTCCAACCCTGCCCTTCAGTGATACCCACTGACCTCTCTCATTGGTGGAAGGTGAAATCTTTAATCCACGTCTTTATTTGTTTCGTTTCATATTCCCTGCTCTTATAAACACATCTGCCTGGATATTCCTGCCTCCTCATGGAAATGCTTTCCTGTCTTTTCTGACTGCAAGTCAGAAGCCACAAGAAATCATATGTTGGGAGGGGTCTCTGGAGGTCATCTGGTCCCACTGCCTGCCCGAAGAACAGCTAACCCCATAGACCAGATCGCTCAAGACCTCACCCAGACAACTTCTGAAAAATTCCTTCCTCAAATTTGTAAGCTCATGTCCCTTGCTCCAACTGCTTCTATAAAAGAAAAATGCTCACTTCTGCCATATAATCCAGGACAAAGCAAGGAAAAAAGCCAATGTAATGCACATGAGTGATATATCCTACCAACCTGCAAAGGTGCCACAGGCTCCTGCCTCAGGCCATCTTTTGCAGATTTCCTTCCCCTCAAAGCAGTTTTGTTCTTCTGAGATGGGGATACTGTAAATCCCTGGACAAGCTTAAGATGAGGAAAATACATATTTTAGTAGTTTCTAAACTTACAAAAGAAACCAACCAACCAAAACCCCCAGACCAGCCTCATTTCCATCTGTTTTCAGTAACTTGTACCAGGGCTCCATCCATCTTACGAAGAGAGACTGAGCCTTTCTACGAGAATAAAGCAAAGACATTTGCTCTCATCCCAGAGGATTGGGACCCCAGGAGAGACCAAACAGAGCAAAGAGAAAATCTGCCTGCTGCAGTAATCTGCTTTAAAGAAATCATAAGTCTCTAGCTGCAGATTTTTCCCCCAATCTCAATAACTAAACCTGCCACTGAATCTTAATCCTTTCTTTTGCCATTTTGTTTGGACTCTTGCTATGAGATGCCAACTCTGCAAAGGCAAAGCCCACTTGTATGACACACCAGATGTCTTGCAGCTTTTAAAACGAAAAGTTTAATCATGTGTTGGGACAGAAACACAGTAAAGGATTTCCAAAGCCTGAACAGATATACAAGATTTGAAGTTATTCTAATAGTTGTGCCCACAAATGCTAAACCCCGTGAGCAGGCTGGCTGTTCTGTGTAAGAACATGAGAATAACCCTCCCTAAAATTTCTCGCCAGACACATTTGCTTCCTAGTTTGCAGTCAGCAGTGCAACTTTGTATCAGCAATTTTTTTAAAGACAGATTTTTCTTGCTTCATGCAGTCAAGGAGAACATTCTTCCCCAAACACCCATCTACTAAAATTCACACACGGGTCTTTGCAGCAGCTCTGAAAAGACCAATTTTTATCATTTCTGTGAGAAAAAGTAAGTACCCTTACAAATGGATACTCAGTCATCTCATAGGCCCCCTTCTGACAAAAGCCTTCACATGGGCTATGCCTGTAGGCTCAAGTGTCACCATCTCCTCAGCACAGATGGATGTCTGCCTTTGCAAGCACAGCTGGCTGCCTTTACCCATGCCATGGTCCCTTCTGATTCTCTCAGATGCCAGGACAGAGCATGAGGAGAGAACCAGCCTCCAGAGGGAACAGTGCAGCCCTATGAGCAGAATCAGTTAGTTTATGAACACCAAGCTAACAGGTAACGTGCACATGTCGAGAAGGCCCACGGGCCTGGCCCCTCCACCTCAGAGGCAGCGATGGGCTAACACCGGTGAGAGTTTCCACCCTGCCCAGCCCTGAGGGGAGTCCCACAGGCCCGAGGGGGGCGAGAGCCCCGCGTTCCCCCCGTGGCCGTCACACCACCGTGGCGGGGCCCCCTCACCGGTTCCAGCGAGGCTCCAGGAGGCCCCAGGGGCGGTGGGAAGTGGCAGCGGTGCAACCCACCTCCCCGCCGCGGGCAAGATGGCGGCGCCCCCTCCCCACACACATCAAATGCTTCACAGCGCCCCCCCGTGTCCTTCCGCTGGATAAAATACTCCCTCCCCACCACCCCCAGCCTCTCGGAAAGAGCAGAAGCCGCCCGTGGGGACCGCGATCGGGCTTCCCGTGGGGACAGCGGTGCGGCTGCCCGTGGGGACAGCGACGCGGCTCCCCGGCTGCAGCAGGCCCAGCACATCAGCGGTGCGGCTGCCCGTGGGGACAGCGACACGGCTCCCCGGCTGCAGCAGGCCCAGCGCATACCGGCGGCCGTCCCGCCAGAGGAGGGTCTGAGCCGCGGCCGGATCCCTCCGCGCCCGGCCGTCCAGCGTCCCTCGTTGCCATGGCAACCCGAACCTGAGCGCGCTCCCCGAAGCGGGGCCGAGCCGAGCCGAGCGCCTCCCTCCCTCCGTGAGGTAAAGGCCGACGGCTGCTCCCCTGGGCGGCGGGGCTGGCTCGGCCCGTGGCGGCCGCCGCGATACCGGACCCGGGAAGCGCCCGGCGGGGGCTGGAGGCGGAGGGCAGCCCCGGGGAGGCTGTGGGGAAAGGGTCGCGGGGCCCGGCGCCGCCATACCGAGCCCTGCGGCCTCTGCCAGGCTCGGCGCCCGGTCACTGCCCTCAACCGCAGCGCCTCTCCATCCTTCGGGGTTTATACTGCACATACATCCTCCCTGCTCCGCAATTAATAATAAATGATCCGGCCTGATGTGTTTATGACAGGCCGTTCACTGCCTGATAAGCCCCACAGCTTTAATTGCAATATTAACGTCCTTTCCGATACCCCAAGCCCTCCTAGGATACGGAGCAATAAAGTCACAAGGTTCACCCTGAGTCAATTTACTAAATTTTATTGCAAGATTCGATACGTTCTCATGTAGTACTTCATGAAACTAAAATTGAAGCTTAAATCCGATGTATGAGATGGCTGTGCTCTACCGACAAGATAATACTACTTTTGTAGTAATTAATAATAATTAGAAGGCAATGGCGCGAGCAGAGCTGTCGGCCTGGCAGTTTTTGCCAGCACTTCGTTGTAGCTGGTTGGGAGCGAAGTGACCAAGATGCCTGTGGGCAATTCTCTGAAGATTTAATCATCATCTACCTGTTCTTGTTCTGCTTGGGGTGGCAGAGGGAGACATGAGAGAAATGTAAGGTTTATTCCCAAGCAGCACCCCAAGCAGGTCGTTTCACACCAACCCAGGGGTCTAACAATAACCACGTTAGTGCTGACCATTTAAAAAGAAAATATTTTTTGGTTTTGGATCAAGCCTGGCCCAAAAGTCACCCCCAGCCCCCTTGTTTCTTCTCTGATCTGTTGCTTGTAGCAAGTTTTATCCCATTTCTTAGTGGGACTGTGGACTGTATCCTCGGTGAGAGGAAAATTAAATGCCAGGAATAAAAGAAGCCAGAAATACTTACACTAGAAAAATTGAACTGTATTTTTATGGCCTTCCTGAGAAAGGTGGCCAGTTTCCTGCTGGTTTATTCTGCTGCTCTTTCGGTTTTAGGATTTTTATTTTGTTATTTTGCATATCAAAGGCCTAGCGTTACTTCTGCTGAAGCTACTGAATTCCACTTGGAGGAAGATCTGGTTTCCAGTGTAAAAGGAAAGGGGAATGAACATTTATACATCTATTTCTTTTTACAGAACAGAAGGAAAATGAACCGACTGCAGGCTTTGCTGAATGACAGCCTTATCGGAACGAAGCACGTGGAAAACGCAGCTATCATCCACATAAAGGAGAGAAAAGTCTCTGCATCAACCTTTGGCTTTAATGTAAGAGATCAAAGAGCGCCCTGGGAAGTGAGAGCGGAGGTAGAAACTCCAGGAATCTAGAGCACAAAGCAGAGATAATGGCAGGGAGGGCTGTGCTCTACTGAATACACTTGCTTCTTTCAGCCCCAGAGCCTGAGTAGCACGGGCAGAGCCTGGCTGCTGTGTTGAGGGGACAGCTTGCAAAGTTGATCACTAATTTCACATCTTTGATTTTGGGGAGAAAGATGCCTTTTAACGGGAATTTGAAAGAGTCCTCTTTAACTACTTTAAGCTCAGTGACTCCACTAGTAAAGCAGATTATGTAGGTCTGCTCCTTGGCACCCAGCCCTGCTGGTGTGGGATGGCCTGTGCCCACACCATAGCCCCAAGCAGGGTGGCTGGAGCAGGTTGTCTGTGGGGAGCGATCCTGGGCCATTCTGATTTTGCAGATTGTACCTGGGAATTGTTTGGGAAAGTGCTTGCTGGCCCAGGCCAAAACTCTACCTGGACTGTTCCCACAGTACTCAGAATTGCTCCCTGGCACCTTACATTTTGCTGATATTGATGTAGCTTATCTGTTTTCGTTGTCCATCAGCTGAGGATCAGCGGAACAGCAGCACTTCTGTTCATACCATGTTATATGGCAAAGCTAACGTGCGCTCCCTGACACAGACCATGGACCCTCTAGGAGATCAGAAACACTCCCACACCAAAGTTATCCTTATGTCATTGCTACTTCCTCTCCTAATTCCCATGATACCAGCCCTCAAACACTGCCAGGCAATTTTTCCAGGGGTATATATTGCTACCCTTGGGATTCTCAGAAGAATGTGTTCAGAAGATGAAGCTCTTTTTAAGATAACCCCATCCCTGAGGGCAGGTCTCCCTCAGCAGAGAGGGTCATCAGTCCATGAGGTAATAGTGGCATCATCTTTAATATGTAAATGATCTTTAATACAAACTACAGCTCTTATAGATGCCAGCCTGCTGGCTCTCCAGCAAGGCAGTTTACATTCTGAGGTCCAGAGCAGAGTCCTCAGTAGTAAATTGTCACCATCTCCACCTGGGCGGCGGGGCTGGCTCGGCCCGTGGCGGCCGCCGCGATACTGGGCCCGGGAAGCGCCCGGCGGGGGCTGGAGGCGGAGG